ATTGCATTGCTCGGAGAGCAAAATAACCCTTACCCTTCACTAGTTCGTATTATCTGGGGTAGTGCAGTCCCAAGAGACTGTTGCTTAAAGAAGACCCGTCTCTCTACTTCTATCCCCCCTCCCCCTCCAAACAACCACAACTCTACACTCCCTTTCCATCATTTACTTCCACCAACACACACATTTCGAGATGAAGACGTTTATGCAGCTGTCTGCCCTAGCTTTGGGACTATTGGCCTGCACCGCCTCCGCTGAGGAAGCTGCCGAAGCTCCCTCAGATGTGCATGTTTTGAAGACCGACACTTTTGAGTCTTTCCTTAACGAGAACCCTTTGGTTCTTGCTGAGTGTCAGTTCTTCCTAAAAGGCAATGGCGATATGAGCATTACGCTGACTTCTTGATAGTTTACGCGCCTTGGTGTGGTCACTGCAAGGCATTGGCCCCCGAGTACGAGGATGCCGCCACCAAGCTCAAGGAGAAGAGCATCCCTCTTGCTAAGGTTGAGTAAGTGAATCGCGACATCTATCTCTATTCACAATAGCTAATTGACAATAGCTGTACCGTTGAGACCGACCTTTGCGAGAAGCAAGGTGTCCAGGGCTACCCCACCATCAAGGTCTTCCGTGGACCCGATAACTCCTCTCCCTACCAGGGACAGCGCAAGTCCGATGCTATCGTTTCTTACATGATTAAGAACTCCCTCCCCGCCGTCTCCGTCCTCGACAAGGAAACCTACGATGATTTCACCAAGGCCGACAAGGTTGTTCTCGTCGCCTTCTTCGACAAGGAGGACAAGGAGTCCAACGCAACCTACACCCAGGTTGCCGAGTCGCTCCGTGACACCTACCTCTTTGGAGCTACCAACGATGCTGCCCTCGCTGAGGCTGCCGGTGTCAAGGTCCCTGCTGTTGTCCTCTTCAAGACCTTCGATGAGGGAAAGAACGTCTTCGACGGTGAGTTCAAGGTTGAGAAGATCACCGACTTCGCAAAGGTCGCCTCTACTCCTCTCGTTGGTGAGGTTGGCCCTGAGACCTACGCCGGTTACATGGATGCTGGTATCCCTCTCGCCTACATTTTCGTCGAGAATGACGACGACAAGACCAAGTACTCCAACATGGTCAAGCCCCTCGCCGAGAAGTTCAAGGGCAAGATCAACTTTGCCACCATTGATGCCGCTGCTTTCGGTGCTCACGCTGGTAACTTGAACTTGGAGCAGAAGTGGCCCGCTTTCTCCATCCAGGAGACCGCCAAGAACCAAAAGTTCCCCTTCCACCAGTCAAAGGAGATCACCGAGAAGGACCTCACTCAGTTCGTCGAGGACTTTGTCGCCGGAAAGATTGAGCCCAGCATCAAGTCCGAGCCCATCCCCGAGAAGCAGGAGGGACCTGTCCACGTCGTTGTTGCGCACAATTACGAGAGCATTGTCAACGACGGCGAGAAGGACGTCCTTGTTGAGTACTACGCCCCCTGGTGCGGTCACTGCAAGAATCTGGCCCCCAAGTACGAGGAGCTTGGAAAGCTTTACTTCAACAACCCCGAGTTTGCGAAGAAGGTTGTAATTGCTAAGGTCGACGCCACCGCCAACGACGTCCCGATTGAGATCCAGGGATTCCCCACCATCAAGCTCTTCCCCGCTGGTTCCAAGGATGCTCCTGTCGACTACGCCGGCAGCCGTACCGTTGAGGACCTTGCTTCTTTCGTCAAGGAGCACGGAACCCACAAGATCGATGCCTACGTTGCCCCCGCCGCCGAGGCTAAGGAGGAGAAGCCTGCTGCTGAGGAGCCCCTCGGTGAGGCCGCTGCTGCCGCAAGCAAGGTTGCCGAGGCTGTCACCGAGAAAGTTGAGAGCGCAACCGAGAAGGTTGAGGAGGCCGTCAAGTCTGCTGAGCCTCAAGGTCACGATGAGTTGTAGGAAACTGGTATGAACTGAAACAAAGGCTCACCAGGGTTGATTGCTTTTCCGGTAGCGTCTAATGGGCTTCGGCGTTATATACTCTTTATTGTTTCATGACTGATGTTAATTTGTACTGTTTTTCTTGGGTTTGCTTTTGGGTTTATTTTTTATATTGGGTATTCTATTTCTTTGTTACGATTTGATGTAGCTTTCAAGTATCGAACCATCAATTCTCAATCACATTCATAGCCCCGTGATATTCATTTCGTATAAAGAAGTGATTGGATTTTTTTTCTGGGTGGGATATCATCACCAAAGTACAAAACCCCTTCATTCTCCCCTCGGCAGCTCCAAAACACTTCCCCATACTCTGAACGCCCGACATGAAGCATATTTAACAAAACGAATCAACAACCCGACATGATAAGATTCTACCTCCATTTCAGTATAATTTACTCCCGACGCCAATACTTCGTCGTCCAATCAAAGGCCTCGTTTATCTAGTATCATTTAGTATTCATAGACTCACTTGTATGATAAATACTTAAAACATCACGGAATAATCACCATGCTATTTTTGCCACTTCGCTTTTTGTATTCCAGTAAAAGGTTCGACTACATCACTATACTCCTCGCCACAGCCTCCCTGCCCTCTCCGCCGACGCGGGTAGCTTCGATATGCGCACCCGATCCGAGTAGAATGCGTACCATACCAACGCCTGCTCAATACAGCTATGTATATGCAGAGGTGTCAACTCGTTGGCATCTCGAGCGTTGACATCAGTACCTACATAGCAGATGAATGAATACTCCATCATTAGCCTTAGATGCAGTACATGTAAAGATGACTTTGTAGTCTTTCTATCCGTTTGATCTAATTGACTCATAGGATCATGTTGAAAACGTGGGTTTGAGTCATGAAGTATCACATGATCCACATGATGCATAGGGCATACAAACCCTATGCCACGGTTTTCGTGACGTGGTGCTGGCCAAGCCGCACACGTCATAGTCTCCTTGGCTTATGCTATATAAACACACCTACCCTGTAACTTAGTTCCGTACTGATAATACATTCACTCAAACCACATTATTGCTTCCTGTGCATCTCCGATTTCAAAAGATCAGGTATTTTATTATCTTGTAGCTCCGCATCGGTCACCGTATGCGGTGCAAGTGATTTTTCGTACTAGAACCTCAATGAGGGTTGTGGGTTGTAGCCCTCGAATTACATAGGTCTGATGAGGGAGCCAAGGGCACCTTTAATCGAGGTAAAAATTTTATTGAACCGATTTGCAAAACATAAGTAATGGAAAACGCCTCTGCGGGAAGTCCTCCGCTGTCCATTTGCATATCTGATCTAATGGAGGGTCTGACTCGTTATTTTTATTGTCTACAGCGAAGTTCGGTTTGGTTGTGATTTCTTCTGATACTTGGAAACGAACACGAATCCAGATCATGATTCGGTATTCCAGTACATATTGCCTCTGTGCGCGTGCGCTTGTTTTCTTACATGCATCATATAATTTCAACTCCATATTTCCCCACTCAATTTTCTGCAACCTTATCTACTTATGCTACTGATAAAACTCGGAATGCGTTCTACTCAGTACCCAGAATGGCTGAGTAGGTACTCGCGCTCCTCCCTATCGTCTTGATGAAGCCCGGAACCGCCATAACCTTAAGGTTGCAAGCGTGTATGAGAAAATAAGATGAAGCCTGGTTAATATATCCTTCTACACACACCCCAGCTCGGCACTCTCATTCCTCACCTCCAGAGTACTCTGGCCACTGTTATTTAGGTTTTGTAAATACATATGAAAGCCGTGCATCATGAAAAGCCTCGCTAGCTCAATCGGTAGAGCGTGAGACTCTTAATCTCAAGGTTGCGGGTTCGACCCCCGCGTGGGGCTTCATCTTTTGTTTTTTCGTCTGCCGGTCAAGATTTTTCAAGAAGTGGTTCCTTTATTACGCTGTATTTTTTTGTTCGCCGAGAAAGAGTTAGATAGTAAATAAAACGGTTTTTATTCTTAGACCTGAAGTATCACTCGTGATTGTACTCTAAAAACATCCAGCACTCGGTAGAGTAGAGTACCTCGACCTCGGTACATACTAGTACTTATTTCTCACTCTCTCTTTTTTCCTCCACCTTACCTCACCGCATCAACCATGTATATTCATCCATCTCAAAGTATCTATCCATTGCGCCCAGAAAATCGTCTTATGTACAAATTTTAAATATGCATTTATTCGTTTTCAGTACTTGTTCAACTTACATCATCACACATCTCTCAAGAACAATATCAAGCTTTTCTCCACAGACATTTTCAATGTGCTAAATGGCTTCAGCAGCTGTGATTGCTACAATGGCCGAAGTGACCAAGATTCAAAAATTTTCTTTCTGCACCTGGCACCCGATACCCAGCACCTTTGTTAGAGGTTATCGAAAGACATGAAGATATGGGTGTATGTATGTATGTATGTAAGATCTAGCTACGCAAAGCTTCGTAGAGCTAAACTAAAACTTCTAACGCCGGATGACAGCGGAAGTTAAACTACTTTATTCTAGGGTCCCCTTGGCTCCGGATTCTCCGATTTGCCTGAGTACATATGAGCCTGAAGACTGGGGATGGGGAATCTGTAACTTCTAATGTTAGAGTTCTCTAGGCCTGTAATGGTCCCATAATCAGTGGTATGAAATGCGTACCGCACTCTAGATACGTTATTTTCAGCTCGCGGTGATGCTCCGGTGGAGACCGGAGGCTAATTCTCAAGGTCGGATGAATGAGGTTCCGGTGACCATTGACCGTGGTTTGAGTTTTGGGGGTTGGGGTTCGAGGTTGGTTTGAGTTCTTACCAGAGACGAAGTGTCGGAGTTGAGCGGGCATCAAAGAAGCTGAAAAATCAGTCAAGTGTGCCAATGTATGCAGCTCCAAGGTTTACTTACTTTATTCACACCGCAGCTTTAGTTTCAACGACACCTTCAAGTTTTCTCTACTACATAGGTTCGGTAACTTCGGTTTCAGTGGATATGACTGCAGGTATAGACAAGCCTTGTATGTAGGCTGCTACGTTTTATAAACTCTTTGGAGAAACCCACGTCATAAGCCTCGCTAGCTCAATCGGTAGAGCGTGAGACTCTTACCTTAGTGTTATCTCAAGGTTGCGGGTTCGACCCCCGCGTGGGGCTACTATCATTTTTGTAGCTGAAATCCATAATCTCAAACTTTGACTTGACATCCAGACTTCTCTGAAGTCTAATTTTATTCTTTTTTTCGAAAATCCGATTGCAAATTTCTTCGGGAATTTCTTTACCCGTAAATTCTTAACCCAATTGTTTTCAAACCTCTTGGACTGTAAGTCTCGCTTCTACATACTCCTTGTGTTCCTTTAAGTTTTAATCCTCTTCTAAAAACATCGTAATCATCAGCATAAACATTACCCCCCCGCCCTTTTCTCTTTCCTACATCTATTTCCACTTCAATCAACTTCCCCCCCTCTCTCCCCACCTTCCACAGTCGGACTTGTTGCCCCCGGTGTTTCCCTCCTCGGCGGCGGCGCAACACTACTCCGCTTCGGTGGCGGCGGCAACCCAGCCTTTGGCGTAGCACTCCTCGTACCCTCCAGCTCCATTGACTTCTGTTCCCCTTCCCTGAGATAATCATCCATAATACTTGCATCGAAATTATGTGCATGTCTCGCTTTATGTCTTGCCGCCACTGGAGCTGTCGTGGAACGAGTCTGCATGGTTGCTGTTCCCATTGGTGGTCCAGGGTTAGGACCTAGCGGAGGCGCTCCGTGAGGTGAAGAGGCGGGGGGAGGCGATTTTTGACCTGACAGTAGCGAGGATCCAGGGGAGAAGGGAGGGTGCGCCATTGGGGTGAATTGGTAGGGAGGAACGGTGGAGGTAGGGGTGGTAAAGTTGGACAAGTTGCCGGGCTCGGTGGGTGGGAACTCCTCTTCCTCGGGGTCCTTACCAACTACGGCGCCGTAACCTCCGGGACGGGTGTAGTCGCCACTCACTCTCGGCGAGTTGCTAAACAAAGTCTCCCCGGGTCCTTGTACCGGCTCCGAGAGGGGAGCTGGTATTCTATGTAACGCTCCGTATCCTAGAACACAGCCAAGAGCTCCTTCTCCGCCCCAGCTACGGGTTGGTGTAATGTGAAGCTCGCGGCAACAGTCGTATTCGTGGTTGTAGACAAATAGCCGGAGGGGACGGTCCATATGCTGTTCTACGAGCTCACCGAGACCAGACTCTCCGCGTACCAAACCATCCGGGGAGCCAAGAATGTAGTCCGAGTAGGGGAGGAGTCCAGCGTAATCAGCCGGCGAAGAGGCCGCGACGTCGAGAATGTGCCAAATGTCTTCGGTGGCTATGATGGGACACCATTGCAGGGTTAATCCGAGGGACAACGAGGAAGAGGGTACGGAGACGGGGATATCGCGGAGGCGGTGGCCCTGTGTATTGTCAGTATTGCATCAAGGACCTTGAAAGCTTCATCGCGGAGGTAAAGGGAAGCCCGAGGAGGAATGAGGGTTAGGACAGAGAGGGCTCAGGGCTCTGACTCGGGGTTCGCGGTGGCTTCAACATGGCTTTGAAAGGGGAGGGGGCAGATGGAGCTCAGATCTCAAAGATTTCGGGAGATTTACGGCGCAGAGATAGGGCCAAGGGATGGTTATCGGGGATAGAGAGGACACGAACCTTCGCGCTCCACACAGTGAAGTAGACATCTCTGCCGGCGGAGTTTTCGATTTCCTTGGAGAAGAGGTAAGAATTTCCATCTTCCTATTATCATCATTAGCTTTGGTTCAAACCAACCCAGTATGCTTCCAGAAGCTCCGGGGATGCAGGAGAGCTCATCGCGAGCATGGGGACACCTTACGACTAGACGACCGTTGATACCACAAATGAAATCAAACCATGGCTCAATAGGAATCAAAGTGTTCGTATTCTTCAGGACCTGAAATCCAAAGCTGACACCCTGCCGGGGCTGTTCACCGAGAGGAAGGAATTTCTTGAGCCAGGACATTGCCGATGAGGATGATGCGCGCGAGTTGGCGGGGTGCGGACAGCTTGCGACAGTCTGCGACACCGCGGATGCTACCGTCGTACAGCTTGGCTCGGCTCCAATGCCTGGTACAACAGGGTCACGTGAAACAAACCTTAGATCCGATGGCTTAACCTAGGGCTTGAACAGCCTTGGATACAGGCGAGAGTCACCGCTTCCGCAACTTGAAGGCTTGAACTACAATCTAGACGGCTAAACTAGAGGCCTGAGCAAAAGTGCGCACTCAGGCCCTCGCTCGCCAGACACACGCGCCCCCGCGCGAAAAACGCGAGCTCGCCTAGTATCGCTAGATAGTGCCCGCTAATGGGAGAAAACCGAGTTTTGAGGCGAAAAGAAAGACACACGATCCACGACGATTTCCCCTTAGATCTTCTCTAGGGGCTGTTAAAGGGTGTTAAGGGTCCCTCCATGTTGCCTGCAAGGGACTAGCCGAGTGATGAGCTATGACATTTCTCTTTTGAGACTATATCGAGGGAACGCAATGAAGATCGTTCAACGGGAATAGCGTAAGGAAGCCCGTGATGAGTCGAGTTTACCAGGCTTTATCTGGAGTTACCAGGCTTTAATTGGTTTCGCCTCGCTTCAGTTCGTTCCGCCGAGCTTGGGCTGAGAACAGTGACTCGGCCATAACTCATCTTGGCTTCGCCTGGCCTTTGCTGGGCACCTGATGGGAAATGCCGATCGCTCTTGTGGTTTGGTTCACTGAAGAGACAAACGACTCCTTTTGTTGGTCGAAGCTATGGTCTTGGAGCATCTCGGATATGAAAATAGAAGTAGAGGTCCAAGACGTGATTATTACACCGACCGGCGGACTCCGTAACTAAAGTACCAAGAGTGTATTCTTGATAGACTTTTGATTTCGATGCTTGGAAAGGGGAGACTACGGTGCGTATCTGATATTTGGGAGACGAGGACAAGTTAGACAGGAGAACACCAGACGGGGGTGAAACTTTGAAGAAGAAGAAAAGGCTTCTGTGCCATTACAACAAGTTGAGGTCAGTGCCCGCGTGCTCTCGCTGCAACAGCTGCAGAGTTTGTTCCTGCCGGATGCACGGAATGTACAGATCTCCCTTCGTCGAAGCTCGCGACATTTGTAAAAATAATCATGATCTTCACAATCGACATGTTCGCAAGGTGGTTCTAGCTGTTGAGAGCAATGATATGATTGCTAGGCTGTACTGTATCTTCTAGATTTACGTTCGGCTGGGAGTGCGAGTTTCCTGGGGCATTTCTTTTGTTCAGATGTGGCGTTAGTGCTTGCGGAACCAAAAATAAAGAATCAGAAGCGAAAGTGAGTATCCACTTCTAGCGTTGTTCTCCTTCCTTGCCTTCCTGCTGTTGTGGGGAGGCTTCTCCGGGAACTACCCGGAGCGGATATCCCGAATTCGCAGATATCGCAAAGGGGCTTCCAGGGGGGTTGCAGTTACGAGCCACTCGCAACGGCTGCCTGCTCTGTCACAAGCCTCACGCCACAGATCGTGCTCGGAGTCCGAGTCGCTCTCGCTTGCTGGAGTTACGATATGCACAACCCGCCTGGCGAGCTGTCACCCTGTCTCTGTTCTCGGGCTCTTTCCAAGCTTTCCAAGGTCTTGGTTCAAACATCGCCACTCTCTCCTCCGGCCACGATACCGACCGGTATGACTTGCTTGGACCTCTCGTGCTCGAGTGCTGGGCCTTGTGCTGGCGGCACAGGTGTAAGTGCGGCGCCAGTGGAGATGACGACGGTGTGTTGATCTAACCCTTCCCATCGGCCTAGCCACCCTAACCGCAACTCAAAACAACGAATCCACCTTCCAAGACTCAGCAGGAACAGGCGTTGGTACTGCCGAGACGCAGAGGATTACTATCGTGAAATCCAGGACACGGGGGAAGGAGGGGGGGGGGGTGAGGGCGTGGGTAGAGGGGTGTTGACGGAGTGGTGGGAGGTTATGGTGAGAAACCGAAAGCCAGGACATCATCATGACAGAGGCTCATCGATGGCGGGGTGTGCGAGCAGGTGCGAAGAGAAAATCGTTTCATCTGAGCGAAACTCTATGAACAAAGGATCAACAACTGAAGCACGCACTGCGTCAGACAAAGTCCACGGCACACCAATCACGGCTACCCGGATTGCTATGTGCCAGGTTCGCGATGCCGCTGGTACTCTATCCGAGAGTCTATCTTCGTCGATTGCACTCTCCCCTCGTCAGGCTCGCCCCGTCGCTCGCTCACCACTCCATAAGGCGCCGTTGCATGTTCGCGCCGCCGCGTTTCTATTCATGCACCACCAAGAAGAAACCTCATGATTGCACGCCAAAAGGCAAAATCAGATCGGTGCAACAGCGGATAGCAACGTTGGATAGCCACTGAGCATCAAAGATAGGCTTGATAGGCCTACGTAACCTCTCGGTCCAACAGGAACAATAACAACGAGACTGGCCCAACACAACAACAAACCATCCGTCCGTTGCACATCGTCCTCGATATGGTGACAACACATCGCAAATCCTAGAAATCATCGCAAATTCGTCATTATCGAAGCTTGAAGCTGCCAGTCCTGCAAAGGCTGTCCCTCGCTGCAGCCCTCCCCACACCCAGATAGACTTCCACAAACACCGAACCCATCTGGACCCTGGCTTCACCCCCCCTCCCCCAATTCAATAACCCACCATCGAACCCACAGAGCTCTCCGCCCAATCCCGTACAAACGTCTGTGTGTCTTCGTTCAACGCCGACCCCTCCCGACCGCCGCGTATCTGATCTCGGAATCGCTCTCACCTGCTACCTGCTACTTTCCTCTAAATCTGGTGTTTGCTTGGTATGGCAATCTTATCCACCTTAGCAACAACTGGTCAAGCGCGACTGACATGGCCTCTGTTCCTCGTTAGAAGGAAAACAGGCCTGGTTCAGAAGCGTGGCGCAGACCGCGTCCTACTCTCTCCTACCCCCGAACCCCGACGACCACCTGTGGAGACAGGGGATATACCTTCCCTAAGCTCGGACATCGAAACGCTGCAGACCCTACATATTAAAGCCTTCCACCCCGACCTGTCTGTCTCTCTCATCACCGCTCCTTCTGCCTTCACCAGCTCAATACGACACTCTTTCAGACCCGGCACAGTACTCAAGTGACCATTCGCTC